GCTTGCTGGCGCCTCCTGGCTGGATTTATCAAGGGCATCCCTTCCCACACACATGGCCTTTCTAGAATCTGCTGTGAAGAGCAGGACCTGCAGAGACACCCCAGGGAAAGGCTTATGGTAATCACTGAGGGACTGCTGGCGACCAGAGGCCTTCCTCATTCCCTTCGGTTGTTCGCATGTGATTTGATGGCGGAGTAGCCACTCATCCCCGGTGTGTGTGTGTGTGTGTGTGTGTGTGTGTGTGTGTGTGTGTATGTGTCTGTCTCTGTGTATGTGTGCATATGCATGGTCAGACTGACCGTGGACCAATTCGGGTGTTCTATTTTATTTTTTTTTTTGAGATGGAGTCTTGCTCTGTTGCCCAGGCTGGAGTAAAACGGCACCATCTCAGCTCACTGTAACCTCCCTCTCCCGGGTTCAAGTGATTCTCCTGCTTCAGCCTCCCTAGTGGCTGGGATTACAGGCACGCACCACCACACCTGGCTAATTTTTGTATTTTTAGTAGAGACAGAGTTTCACTATGTTGGCCAGGCTGGTCTCAAATTTCTGACCTCAGGTGATCCACCTGCTCGGCCTCCCCAATTTCTTTTTTTTTTTTTTGAGGTGAAGTCTTGCTGTGTCACCCAGGCTGGAGTGCAATGGCATGATCTCGGCTCACTGCAACCTCTGCTTCCTGGGTTCAAGCGATTCTCCTGCCTCAACCTCCTGAGTAGCTGGGACTACTCAGTCCCAGTCATGGTGCCTGCCACCATGCCCAGTTAGTTTTTGTATCTTTAGTAGAGATGGAGTTTCACCATGTTGGCCAGGTTGGTCTCACACTCCTGACCTCAAGTGATCTGCCTGCCTCGGCCTCCCAAAGTGTTGGGATTACAGGTGTGAGCCACCGCACCTGACCAACTGGGTGTTTGTATGCAATTTGATGCCAGAGTAGCCACTCATCGCCAGGTGAGTGTGTGTGTGTGTGGGGGGGGGGGGGGGTCACAATGAACTTGGACCAACTTGGGTATGTGCATGTGATTTGATGCTGGAGTCGCCACTCATTGACAGGGGTGTGTGTGTGTGTGTGTGTATCTGTGTGTGTGTGTACAGTCAGATTGACCCTGGACCAACCTCTGTCTCCACTCGATAGCTGTAGAGCCTTGACCAAGTCACTTCTCTGCTCTTCAGTTCTTTTGTTGGTAAAATGGGGATATTGCACTGATCTCAGAGCTTAGATCTTGTTGTTCTAGTAAAGATTCAAGGGAAGGATAAGGCGTACTGCGAGCCGGGCACACTGCAAGTTCTTGAGAGTTCTCAGTGGACATTATGGTAACCATGCACAATAGGTTATTATTTATCTTTATTCAGGTTTGGCATAATGAGTGACATGAGCCTTGGGGAATCTCAGAGCACCCTAGGAGAAAGTGAAATGCCCCACATCTGCTGAGGCGGGATGACTCATAACCTTGGGGGGCAGTGCTTCCAGTAGAGGCGTGACTTGCCCACCCCCTAAGAATATTCTCTAGTCCCTCTTTTCACCGAGAATGCAGCAAGGGCCACCTCTTTATGTAGGGGTCTTATGTCTAACTTTTTACAAGAGCTCAGGGCTTCAGCCCCTACCCTGGTATGGCCATTAAAATCAAGTCTCCTGTTTAGTGAGATCAGACCCTGTCCCCGATACAAGAAGCTCACAGCCTCATACACCTGCTGCTGCTTTTAGTTTTGTTTTCTGGCTCCAGGGGATTTCCCTTCTTTCCTGCGTGTTCAGGTGTGCATCTGAGAATTGCTTATTGTATTTAGTTCCGGTTTGTAGCAGGGACATACTGAGTTGTCTGATCATGATGCTGCTTAAAATGTATGACTATTATATGAATTTCATACATAATCCAAATCTATTTCTCTGAAGTTTGTCTCTGTGGCGTCTTAGGGCTCACATGAATCAACCGTAGCTCCTTTTCTACCAAATTGCCTTTCAGACATCTCAAGACAGCTTTGATATCTCCCTATCTGATTTGCTTCCTCCTTCCCTTCTTCAACTTAAAAATTCCATTTAATAAATCCTTTTCTCTTTTTAACTTACAATGTTAATTTTTGCAAAATAAAAGTTAACACGAATTTTAGGATTTTCTTCTCTACATAGAAAAGTGCAGAGAAGAAAAAACTAGGCTAAGTTTTTGTTGTTGTTGTCCAGGCTCTTGCCTGTAATCCCAGCAATTTGGGAGGCTGAGGCAGGATGATCACTTGAGACCAGGAGTTTGAGATCAGCCTGAGCAACAAAGGGAGATGCCGTCTCCACAAAAACATACAAAAAAATAGCTGGGTGTGATGGTGTGTGCCTGTAGTCCCAGCTAATTGTGGGGCTGAGGTGGAAGGATGGCTTAAGCTCAGGAGTTCTAGGCTGCAGTGAGCTAGGATGGCACCAGTACACTCCAGCCTGGGTGACAAAGCAAGGCTGTCTCTAGAAAAACAAAAGAAAAAACTTCCCAATGCTGTCAAAACATGGCAATACACATCCTTGCTTTTTTTTGAGATGGAGTCTGGCTCTGTTGCCTAGGCTGAAGTGCAGTGGTGTAGTCTTGGCTCACAGCAACCTCCGCCACCCAGATTCAAGTGATTCTCCTGCCTCAGTCTGCCAAATAGCTGGGACTAAAGGTGCACGCCACCAGGCCCGGCTAATTTTTGTATTTTTAGCAGAGATGGGGGTTTCACCATGTTGGCCAGGGTCGTCTTGAACTCCTGACCTCAAGTAATCTGCCTGCCTCGACCTCCCAAAGTGCTGGGATTACAGATGTGAGCCACCGGTGCCCAGCCTACATCCTTACTTTTTATACAAAGCTCCTATCGCTACTGTGATTAAATACTTACTTAAGAAATTATTTAATGACTATTCTCTCTTCTATTTGGTTGGAGGAGTTAAGTGAGGACAGACCCTTGTTTGATTAAATACTTACTTGAGAAATTATTTAATGACTATTCTCTCTTCTATTTGGTTGGAGGAGTTAAGTGAGGACAGACCCTTGTTTCTTTCCATTACTGTTCCCTGTGCACCCACCACAGAACCAGGTGAAGGGGAGGAGATCAAAGAACATTTGTTGAATTAATGATCAGCTAAAGGACTAACCTCTTTTATATATAGAAAATATATTTTAAGGCTGGGCGCGGTGGCTCACACCTGTAATCCCAGCACTTTGGGAGGCTGAGGCAGGCAGATCACCTGAGGTCAGGAGTTCGAGACCAGCCTGGTCAACATGGCAAAACCTCGTCTGTGTTTTGTAAAGATATAAAAATTAGCTGGGTGTGGTGGGCGGGTACCTGTAATCCCAGCTACTCGGGAGGCTGAGGCAGGAGAATTGCTTGAACCTGGGAGGCGGAGGTTACAGCGAGCCAAGATCACATCATTGCTCTCCAGCCTGGGCAACAGAGCGAGACTCCGTCTCAAAACAAATAAAAAAGAAAATATATTTTAAAAGTATAAAATCTATCTTTAAAGTATAAAACTAGGATCATGGCTTAAATCATTTTATTTTTTTTAATGAAACATTTGCCATGTTAAAACATCATGTTGTCATTCATCGAAAACACAACCTCTAATGGCCACATAATACTTCATCATTTTGGTTGCTGAATAGTTTAATTAACCATTTCCCTTTCTTGGGCATGGAGGAGATATCTAGGAATTGACTTTTATGAGTAAAACCTGTCCAGAAGTTTAAATTTATCCCTCGTTTCTTTGAGTACATTCCTTGAAATTGAAGAGTTGGGTTAAAATGGTACGAATGTTTTATTTCTTGGTGATTATATAACATCCTTTCAGAAAACTGAAATAATTTGCATTTTCCCCTTAACCTTGGCTGTCACAGAGAGACTTGACAGGACAAAATGAGATCACTTGAATTTAATTTGCATTTCCTTTATATGTAATTAGTGAGATTAAACTCCCTTTCAACATTTATTCTTCCAATAACATGCCTTATTTGGTGAACTTCCTGTTTATTCTATTAGCTCGTTTTTTTTCTATTGGAATTTTTATTTTTTTCTTGATTTGTAAATGCTTTTTACAGATTAAGGATACTGTCTTGTTTTGTTTTGTTTTTGAGAAAGAGTCTGGCTCTATCTCCCAGGCTGGAGGGCAGTGGCATGTGCCTCCCGCGTGCCAGGGATTCCAGGCACCCGCCACCACGCCCGGCTAATTTTTGTATTTTAGTAGAGACAGGGATTCACCATGTTGGCCAGGCTGGTCTCAAACTCCTGACCTCAAGGGATCTGAGAGCCTAGGGCTCCCAAAGTGCTGGAATTACAGGCGTGAGCCACCAGATAGGGAATTCTTAGTTTACATTTGGGATACTTGCCTGGAGATCAAGAACCCTAAATGAGAATCCTAAGCATGAACAACACTGCAAAAAACAACACACACAAAAAAATCAAGAGACCTGAATATATGATAATATCCTGCAGGGCGCAGTGGCGCATGCCTGGAATCCCAGCACTTAGGGAGGCCGAGGACGAAGGATCGCTTGAGCCCGGGAGCTCAAGACCAGGTTGGTCAACATGGCGAAACCCCGTCTCTACAAAAAATACAAAAATGACTTGGGTGTGCTGGCACACACCTGTTATCCCAGCTACTTGGGAAGCTGAGGCAGGAGAATCTCTTGAACCCGGGAGGCAGAGGTTGCAGTGAGCCGCGATCGCACCACTACGCTCCAGCCTGGGTGACAGAGCGAGACTCCGTCCCCCTCCCTTCCCACCCCCGCTCCCAAAAGAATTCACTTTCTGAGAGAAAATTCACCCTTTTCACTTACGCTGTTCCCAAAGCGCCTTTACCGTCCACAGTGGGCGTTAGACCGGCCCAAACGCCCCTCCCCAGGGGTGAGCCCTGGTGGAAACCCTGACCACACCCCTGCTCTGCCATCGCTGATTGGTGCAGTGGAAGACACCTGACAGCAATTGGGCCAATCGACTCTCTTGCTCTGAAATTGAATCCTGCAGCCAGGCGTATTGGCGGCTGCCGTTAAGTACCAACTATGACCCAGGCTGAGGTGGGAGCACAGCTTGAGCCCAAGAGTTCGAGTCCAACCTGGGCGAGAGAGTGAGACCTTCCCCCGCACCGCCTAATCTCTTAAAAAAACCCAAACTGGGACTAAGACGCTCAGGTTTGGTGTGGACTTTCCTTCTGAACAAAGAAGGCATAAACTTTGGGAATGGTCACGGGGGCAGCAGTGCTTCTCCAACCACAGTCTCTCTAAAACGCGGATTCTGATCAGCAGTTCTGGATGGGGCCGAGATTCTGCCTTCCCAGCATTTCCAACAAGCCCTTTGAGCTGTACGGTCTAGAAAACCTTAAAATATTTCTAGCTTCTGGTTCAATCTCTTTTTGAGATCCAGCTGCGTGCCTGCCTGTAATTCTCCCTTATGCCTATATCCTTCTAAACAAAGTCTCCCCTCTGGCTTGAATTATAGTCAAAGTGGGGGGTCTGTTCTAAGCAAATGAACAGTCCTATGTAACAGAAAATTAACTTGCCCTACACTGGGACTTCACCAAATAGGAAAAAAACCGTAAGTGGAACAGAGCTCCCTCCCACAGTGGGCCGTTCATTCATTCCTCAAATCTGTTGAGCAGCTATTGTGAACTAGACTCTAGTGCCCGTGGGTTTCCATCCCTTCAACCCCTTCTGGTTGAGTGGTTCTCATACTTGATCATGCATCACAGATTCTGATGCAGAGATTTGGGGTAAAGCTTAGATATCTTTATAGCTGTATTTTAAACACATTTTCCAGATGATTTTTTGCACAGCAGCATCTGAGAACTGCCACTCTAGTCCCTTTAACGGGGCAGTGGTAGGAACGTGGCCCTGCAGAAGGGGCTTGGGATTGGGTTCCACTGGTAGGACCCTTCTCTTTGTCCCTTGGCAGCCTAGCTGCCTCCACTACAGTGCAACTGGGCAAAGCCATGTGTCCCAATTTTGGCCAGCAGGATCTGGATTTTGGGAGTTTATCAGGGAGCATTTCTTCCCTGATACAGATAAGTTGCTCCTTTCCCTATTTGTGGGTGTGCCTGACAGATCTGATGCCCAAGGCATTAGCCGCCACTATCCGGCCATGGGGAGGGTGGGAGGGCAAAGGATAAAAGCCCACCACAGAGAACAGGGGGAAGATGCAAAGAACTCCGCACCTTTGAGCTGCCGAACTGACCTTGCCTGTTCGGCTATGAGAGATAATACGTGTCTTAACTGTTCTGTGCACTTTTAGTTTGCTGTTGTTAAGAGCAACAGAGGCCGGGCATGATGGCTCATGCCTGTAATCCCAACACTTTGGGAGGCCAAGGCAGGCAGATAACGAGGTCAGGAGTTTGAGGCCAGCCTGACCAACATGGTGAAACCCCATCTCTACTAAAAAATACAAAAATTAGTGGGCGTGGCAGCGGGCGCCTGTAATCCCAGCTACTCAGGAAGCAGGGGCAGGAGAATCGCTTGAACCTGGGAGGCAGAGGTTGCAGTGAGCCAAGATCGCACCACTGCACTCCAGCCTGGGCGACAGAGCGAGCCTCCGTCTCAAAAAAAAAAGCAACCGAAAGCATCTGACTTGACCCAACCACTCCCTGGCTGGTTGAGATTCCCAGGACCCTGCTCAGACCCCCTAATATATTATCCCCAGGAAGGGTCTGGATATCTGCATTTTTCACCAAAGCTCAGATGATTCTTATGCACAAGCAAGTTTGAGAAACGTTGCAATGAGGAATTTACTAAGTGGCAGTACTGATTAAGAGCACAGGTTCTGCAGCCAGACAGCCTAGGTTTGAGACCCAGTTCTGCCACCTTCTGTTTCTGTCATCTGGCCAAGTTATTTAACCCCTCTGTGCCTCGGTTTCATCATTGGTAAAATGGGGATAATAATTATTACTACCTAACTTTTGGTTATGAAAAACTACTTCATACAGAGTACTTAGAAAAGTGCATGGCATAGAATAAGCACTGTATAAGAATTTGCTATTATTGTTTCCAGAGCCTGGCAATCACTACATAGTTTGTCTTACTAAATCACTCATGTGCTCACGAACTTTATGGATCCCCAGCTCCTTCAGAATAAAGGCCAAAGCTGAAGCACAACCCCCACCACGTTCCCCTGTGCCATCTCTAACCACTGTTTTCCAACCTTGCCCCAATCTTCCCCCACCCCCTCCAAACCACCATTAGGAAATGCCCCCTTTCCCACCATCTTTCTCCCAACAGCCAATGGGTCTTTCAATGCCGGTTATACATTTGCTTTCATTCACAATTCTCTTCCCTGACTTTCCCAGTTGGAACCAACAGACTCTGTGAATTCTTCGCACCTTTAAGACGGCACTTGTCACAAACTGCCGGACTTCAATGTCTTACAACTAAATCCTCTTCCCCTCCCCGAGGGGCTTGGAATTCTCCAATGGCAAGCATCTCTATTATCTGAGTTCCATCATTTGCCACACAACAGCCCTAAAGCCACTGATACAGTTTGGCTGTGTCCCACCCAAATCTCATCTTGAATTTAACTCCTACAATTCCCTGTGTCATGGGAGGAACCCAGTGGGAAGTGACTGAAGTTTGGGGGCGGGTCTTCCTGCTCTGTTCTTGTGATAGTGAATGAGTCTTATGAGAGCTGATGGTTTTAAAAAGGGGGGTGTCGGTGCACAAGCTCTTATCTCTTGTCTGCTGCTCTTCAAGACGTGTCTTTCACCTTCCGCCATGACTGTGAGACCTCCCCAGCCATGTGGAACTGTGAGTCCAATAAGCCTCTTTCTTTTGTAAACTGTTCAGTCTCTGGTATGTCTTCATCAGGAGCATGAAAACTGCAGATCTCACCATCCTTTCACCACCTGTTTATTAGTCGCTACATTAATAAAAGCCACCGTCACCAAGTCCTCATTGATGGGGCACATGCCATATGCACCATGTGCTTCAGACACATGAACACATTTAATCCTCACAGCCGCTCTTTTCCGCCCTCATTCAATAGCTGTTTTATTGAGTGCCTATGATGTGCCAGACCTGGTGTTGGGTTGTGGGAAAATAAGACTGATTAGGTCTCTGCATGCAGGGAGATTTACAGTCTAGTAACCTAGAAATTGAGCCACTAATTTGGGGCTCACAGGCCAAACTGAACTTTCAGATTCTTTTTTAAGGCTTTCAAAATCAATTATCAAAATCAAAATGTGTCATTGTCCTCTGGCCAAAGACCAACAGAGACACCCCTGTCGCTGAATAAGTTTATTACTCATTGCAATAAGGGAAACCTTAGAAGGTGTTAGAAAGAACTTATTTTATTTTAGGTTTGGGCTCATGTTAGATGCTTTTGGAGGAGGTTCAAGAAAACCTGCATCAGAGGCACCAGTAAGTGGGGCTCATTCTATGATTTGTTATTTTAATAAATATTATCAAGAGGGAAAGAAGGCTAGATAGAGCAAGACTCAAATTTTAATAGGCAAAGAAGTAACTGTCACTCAGATTGACAGAGGAGAGGAGGACGTTTGGTATTTTGTGGCTTGGACAGCGTTCCCATTTTGTCTGGGCTCACACATGATGACAGATGTGGTTTTATTTTCGTCTTGCCCACCAAGATCAGAGTGGCCTGGTCTGATGTTGGTGTTTTGTGAAACTGTGAACAACTGTGTATGTTCAACAGTAGAACAGCATGGCCTACCTGTGGGCCAGCCCAGTTCCTAGCAATACCAAGACCCAGCTGATCACGGCTGCTAGCTGTCAGGGGCTGCTGTCCTCTTTCTCTGCTAGTTGGCCACAGGCCCTCTCCCTCTCTATGGTAGTATCTGCTGCTGCAAACACCACCGCTGACTGCCCTTGGAATCACGTCGGAATTCACTTCTCTAATTAAAGACTAATTAGTTAACAATTGTGATACATGCTAGCTGAGAAAACAGAAACCTAATTGTGGGAGTAGGGAAAAGGGGAAATCAGAGCTGGCTTCTAGGTAGAGGTGACTTTTAACCTGGGACTTAAAGAGTAGGAATTAGCCAGTAATGGCCAAAAAAAAAAAAAAAAAAAAAAAATCATTCTTGGCCAAGTGATCAATTCAATTAATATTGACTGAGGGCTTGCCATGAGCTCTGTGCTAACATTATCCATGTGCTGTTTTGTTTACTTTCACAGCCTCCTGATTTGGTAATGAGAGCTAACAGTGACAGCTCAAAATGGCTTCCATGTAGGACCCACTGAAGCCCACTGAGGCCCACTGAAGCCTGGCTCGAACCCTCGTAGATGAGTTCTAGCATCACTTTCATTTTACTATTGTGGAAATGAAAACACGGTGTAAGTAATCTGCCCAAGGTCACATGGTTAGCAAGTGGTACAGCCAGGATGTGAACCCAAGCAGTCTGTCTCAGGACCCCAGACTCTTCATTACCAAACCCTGTGCCCTCTCTGCTTATTTTTTTATTTTTGTTTTTTAATTATTTATTTATTTATTTATTTATTTATTTATTTATATTTGAGATGGATTCTTGCTCTGTTGCCCAGGCTGGAGTGCAATGGCGCAATCTCTGCTCACTGCAACCTCTACCTCCCGGGTTCAAGCGATTCTCCTGCCTCAGCCTCCCGAGTAGCTAGGATTACAGGCACCTACCACCATGCCTGACTAATTTTTGTAGTTTTAGTAGAGATGGGGTTTCACCACATTGGCCAGGCTGGTCTCAAACTCCTGACCTTGTGATCCACCCACCTCAGCCTCCCAAAGTGTTGGGATTATAGGCGTGAGCCACCGCGCCCAGCCCTCTCTGTTTACTTTTAGCCTCACTTTGAAATGAATGTAATGTAATTTGCCATGGTCATGGGGTTCCTAAGGCCTTATGCAGCCAGGATTCAAACTCAGGGACCTGACTCCAAAGCCCCATGATTTGAAGTCGTGGACTTAGAAAATGCAAAATGCACATGGGATGTATTTCCACCAGCATCCACATCTAATTTTACGGCTCCCATATGAAAATCCTTAAATCATATGCCAGACAACGGGCAGCTTTCAAAGCTAGCAGGCAGATAATAAATTTTACTTTAAACCCAAGTATTATCAGGCAGAGGAGACATAGGAGAAGAGCGAGAAACAGTTTGGCTTAATCAAGGACAAACGAGTCTGGAAAATGTCCAGATGAGGATATCTGCAGAAATCCACTATTTGGGGGGTTGGACTGTGGTTTTGAGCGTGAATAACTGTCCAACCTGGCTGAGACCCAGAATCCCCCAGGAGCTTGTTAAAAATACAGATACCTGAGCCTCAGCTCCAGACATTCAGATTCAGGAGGTGGAGCCCAGGCACTGGTATCCTTAACAAGCTCCCAGGGGATCTTGGTCCATAGGCAGGTCTGGGAACTGCCAGTCAACGGAAACTTGAAGCACAATAGGGGGAACTGCACCCAGAAAACCAATCTAATAAGTGTAAAAAAGAAAAGAAAGCAGAATTCTGCTTGTTTAGTTGGCACAGAGGCAGGAACCATCAGGAGGAGCAGCTGAGTCAGGCAGAGACAACGTACGCTGCAGATCTCACCATCCTTTTGCCACCTGTTTATTAGTCTCTAAAATTAATAAAAGCGATTGCTCATGAACCCAATTTCTCTATATCAGGTCCTTTATGTGGATTATCGCAGAATTCTCACAATAACCCAATGATGATTAGGTATTATAACCTCTTTTTACAGATGAGGACTGGTAAGTGAAAGGGAGAGTAAATGATTTGCCCACAGCCTACGGCTGTTAGGTGGTGGATTGGGATGCAAGTCCAACAGTCTGTCTCTGAGCTTGTGGCTCCCTTCAGCACTGTGCAGGGGAGGGCTCTGTGTGCCAGGCACAAACAGGACTCCGGGACTGGCCTGAGCATTCAGGGCAGTCAACAAAACTCAGGCATGGCAAGATCCAATGATCGCAGGGCTGTGGAAATGCTAAGAGGAGGGCAAACTTCTTCGAACAAAGAAATAGAAGTGCTGGGTGCAGTGGCTCATGCCTGTAATCCTAGCACTTTGGGAGCCCAAGATGGGAGGATCATTTTAGCCCAGGAGTTCAAGACCAGCCTGTGCAACGTAGCAAAACCCTATCAATAATTTAAAAATTGGCTGGATGTGGTGGTGCATGCCTGTAGCCCCAGCTTCTTGGGAGGCTGAGGTGGGAGGACTGCTTGAGCACAGGAGATCAAGGCTGCAGTGAGCCATGATTGTACTACTGCACTCCAGCCTGAGCAACAGAGCAAGACTCTGTCTCAAAAAACAAAACAAACAAACAAAAAAACTAGGAGGACAAAGAAGGGAGCCATTATTTTGTTGTGAGGTCAGCTTCACTGATGTATATGAGATTTGAGCAGTTGTTCACACCCAAAAAATAATAAGTGCCTTGGTGTTGGGATCCAGTAGTGAACAGGAGCAGGGCTTACAGCTCAGGGATGCAGATAGACTTTAAAGTCATTCCTCTATTAATCATTTAAATATGGGACATGACCTGATCTGGGAAAAGAGTGAGTGGTACAGGGAAGGGGTCTTTGAGAAAATGCCCTTAAGCCCAGCTCTGATGTAAGAATTAAGGCAGTTCCAGGCAGAAGGAACAACACAGGCAAGGTCTGAGCCTGGAGGAAATGTGGCTCATTCCAGAAACAGAAAGGAGTTCATCATGGCTGCTGCAATATAGAGGGGAGGGGAGTGTCCCCAAGAGGAAGGCAGACCCTTTTTTGTGAAGATTGTCATGAAACTTAAGGTCTTGAGGTGGAGTTGGCATCAGCCAGGCCAACATGGGAAAGGTATTTTAGGCAAAGGAAAAAGCATCAGTGAAGGCTCAGAGCCCAGAAAGAAGCAACGGCCCCAAGGAAAAAGTGTGGGCCTGGAAGCTTCCCACACGGCAGGGCATCCATTTTTATATGGCTCCCACCCAATGTGAGAGGTACCGGGATTTTGGTTTTTGAGGACAAGAAAGCAAACACTGTCCTCATGAAGAAGGCCACTAGGATAAGGGGCAAAACACATGTCCCAGGACTGTCCCGAAGTTCTGATGGGACCTTGGCCATGTCCCTTCCCCAAAGGCAGCTTTGCTTGATCCTGGTGCAAAATAATTAGGTCCTACCAAGCCCACCTTTAAGGGTTTTCTGGTATTCACCTTTTCTTGGTGACTTCCTTTAAGATGGGAATGAAGGAGACAGTGGGAAGATCTCAGTGTTCTTTTGTTAAGGTTTGTAAGGGGATCAGTTTTATTGTATTTCAAAATGTCTAATGTTTAAAAAACTCAGCAGAAACATTATTTTGGATGCATTAAAAAAAAAAAAAAACAACCACAAAACTTTGCTTATTGCCAAAAAAATTCAAACCTCACCCCAGTAGATACCTCATAAGGGGAAAGTTGGTTTCCTGACTTTTTTTTTTTTTTGAAATGGACTCTCACTCACTCTGTTGCCCAGTGGGGAGTGCAGTGGCACTATCACTGCAGCCTCCGCCTCCTGGGTTTAAGAGATTCTCGTGCCTCGGTCTCCAAAGTACAGGGACTATAGGCGTGTGCCACCATGCCTGGCCAATTTTTGTATTTTTACTAGAGATGAGGTTTCACCATGTTGGCCAGGCTGGTCTTGAAATCCTGACCTCAAGTGATCCGCCTTGGTCTCCCAAAGTGCTGGGACCACAGGCGTGAGCCACTGCGCCTGGCCCTGACTTCTGGTGCTCCTAACTCTTCAGTTCCAGACTATTGGGTAAACATTCTCTGAGAACAAGCTAGAAGAAACTTATGGACTCAGTCAGGCTCAGAGATGTATTGTTTGGCAACAAAGTTTTATATTTGGAAAATTTCACATTTTCAGCTTCTCTGAAAAACTGAAATATCTAACTGGCTGGATCCAAAGAACAGCTGCACTTTTGGATGAGGCATGTGTGATTTCTCCACTTCACCACAGTCCCCACCACTCTCTGACACCTCCCCCAAAGACAACTTCTCTCATTTACATCACCTGCCCCATCCCTGTTCTAGAAACTTTCCTGAAATATAAGACCATATAATATGTAGGCTTCCTTTTTTTTAATATATATATGCCTTGAGAATCTTTCTGTGACTACACACAGATCTAAATCTCCTCCTTTCCAATGCTAAGTCATATTCCGTGGTTGGAATCTTTGATATTTATTTATTTATTTAAATCCCTCTTTTTATTTTTATTTTATTTAAGAAACAGGGTTTCACTTGTCACCCAGGCTGGAGTGCAGTGGTACAATCATAACTCACTGCAGCCTCAAACTCCTGGGCTCAAGCGATCCTCCTGCCTTAACCTCCTGAGCAGCTAGGACTACAAGTACCTGCTATCGTGCCTGACTAATTTTTAAAATTTAATGTAGAGGTGGGGTCTTGCTATGTGGACCAGACTGGTCTTGAACGCCTGGCCTCAAGCGATCCTCCAGCCTTGCCCTCATAAAGGGCTGGGATTACAGGTGTGAGCCACCGCACCTGGCCATCTCTAACTCTCTCTTGACGTATACATACAAAGGTTCCACTTTCTCTATAGTACATGCTGTAAATGAATATCCTTGTACATTTGTTTATGAAGTTTTTTGTTTTTGTTTTTTTGAGACAGACTCTCACTCTGTTGCCCAGGTTGGAGTGCAGTGGCATGATCTCAGCTCACTGCAACCTCCACCTCCCAGGTTCAAGCAATTCTCCTGCCTTAGCCTCCCGAGTAGCTGGGATTACGGGCATGTGGCACCATGCTGGGCTAGTTTTCATATTTTTTGTAGAGAAGGTGTTTTGCCATATTGGCCAGACTGGTCACAAACTCCTGACCTCAGGTGATCCACCTGCCTTGGCATCCCAAAGTGCTGGGATTACAGGCGTGAGCCACCGTGCCTAGCCTGTTCATGAAGTTTTATAGGATGAATACCTAGCTGCAGGCTTATTGGATAAATGTCTTTATGTACATTTTAAAACTAAGAAATTTTAAATTTAAGATTTGAAAGCTATCACAACATCGTCCAGGTTATAAGAATTTACATCCCCAGAAAATGAAATCAGTGTCCTTCCCCAAGCCTTGTTTAGATTTGCATTTTTGTAATTACTAAGGTGACCAAACCTCCCTTTATGGCCAGTTGTCCCCTGTATATCATCCAGTGACCTTTTCACTTTGCACTTTTTTTTTTTTTTTTTTTTTTTGAGACGAAGTCTCGCTCTTGTCCCCCAGGCTGGAGTGCAAAGGCACGATCTCGGCTCACTGCAACCTCCGCCTCCCGGGTTCAAGCGATTCTCCTGCCTCAGCCTCCCAAGTAGCTGGGATTACAGGCGACTGCTACCACGCCCAGCTAATTTTTGTATTTTTAGTAGAGACGGGGTTTCAGCATGCTGGCCAGGCTGGTCTAGAACTACTGACCTCAGGTGATCCGCCCGCCTCAGCCTCCCAAAGTGTTGGGATTACAGGCGTGAGCCACTGCACCTGGCCTCCACTTTGCACTTTTTATATTTTACTGGTTTTAGCAGTTCTTTGTATAAGAGGGATATTGGGCCTTAATTATATATGCCACAAAATTTTCCCCAAGTTGATTGTCTTTAGATTTTGCATTTTACTTTAGAAAACTTGTAACTTCATTTGCAATCACATATGTGATTCTTTTTCTTTGAGGGGGTGGTCCATAACCCGCTTTCTTTGGTAGGCATATTAGTACGTTTTTTAGAATCAAATGCCTTTAGCTAAGGAATGCATTCTCTGTTTCCCCACAAGATCCAGGACTATCCCATAAATGGGCTACTTCATAATTTTAAAGTTATCTTCCTGCCCCTTAAGACAAATTACACAGGTATAACTGTGTGTATATGTGTTTGTGGGTATATCTCCTCTAGGACTTTTATGGTTTTCTTATGCACATTTACATTTTGGACCCATCTGTAATTTATTTTTGGTGGAGTGAGTGTACACAACAGAGAACGGGGATGTTTTCCTCATCAGCAGCACAAGGGGGAGGAGATACCAATGCCTGTTTAGAGATTTTTTTTAAAACAACAACAGGCTTTTTGGCCCTTTACACAAGTAAATGCAAACCCAAGGATTGTAGCCATACTTCTACCACCCAAAACAACCACTTTTTTTTATTGCAATGTATTTTCTGCTAGTCTTTTTTTTCCCTTAGTATACAGATTTTTGTTTCAGAAATCTTTTTTTTTTTTTTGGTCTGTTTTTTATAACATGTGACAACATTTAAAACTGCTAACATTTAACGTTTTAACCTAGTAGCTCCCAAACCTGGCTGGGCAGCTGGCTTCCCGGTGGAGCTTGTTAAAAATAATGAATCAGCAACCCTAGGGGGTGGGCTCTGGGAATCTATATTTTTAACAAGTTCCATGGAGGTGTTTGAGACATAGCCAGGCCAACTCTGGCCGACTCCCCCATGCTGCAGCGGTACCTGTGATTGTCTGGGTCTCCGATGTGATGGTTCTGGTGGTGGTCTGAGTCTGGGTGGCAGGCACTGTTTCCTCCGATACAAACTGGACTGTGCTGGGGGCTGCCGCGGACGTGCCCGTCAGCTGGCAGCCACTTTGCTTGTGAGCTACAAAGGCATCCAGGTTGTTAAACTGCTGCTTGCAGATGCCGCAGATATGGATGTCGGGAGTCAGCTCCACCAGCACCGTTGTGCCACCTGGAACTCCATGGGACAAAGGGAAAGTAACAGATTAATTCCAAACAGCTTGGAATTCTAATGCAAACCAGATTCACAGTAGGAAGAAAAGGCATGGTGGCAGACATGGCTGAGTGGTGGTCCAGTATCCACTCCACTTTCCACTTCTTGCAATTGTGGCCCAGTATCTACTCCACCTTCCACTTCTCCTAATTGTGTCCTAGCAGCAAGGTATCATATTTCCACACAGAGATTTCTTGCCTTAGTTAAACCTGGGGAAAATTGGACATAATGTAAATACCTTAGAAATCTTCAGAAAATTGGCTGGGCGCGGTGGCTCACACCTGCAATCCTGGCACTTTGGGAGGCTGAGGCAGGCGGATCACCTGAGGTCAGGAGTTCAAGACCAGCCTGGCCAACATGGTGAAATCCCGTCTCTACTAAAAATACAAAAATTAGCTGGGCATGGTGGTGCGTGCCTATAATCCCAGCTACTCAGGAGGCTGTGGCAGGAGAATCACTTGAACCCAGCAGGCGGAGGTTGCAGCAAGCTGAGATCCCACCATTGCACCCCCGCCTGGGGGACAAGAGTGAAACTCTGTTTCAAAAAAAAACAATTTTCAGAAAATTGTGATGCATAATTTTATCCAACCATATAGGCACAAAGGTATTCTTGTATTATTTAACTTGGGGAAAATTAGAAATAATGTATAGCAACCAACCACGTGATGGTTCATGCTGCATTGTTACTCATGGGACACTAGTCGCGTTGTTTGCAAGAAAGTTATTTGATATGCAGGGATGTCCTGCACTTTGCAGAACCAGCAGCCACCTCCTATCCTAACTAAAAGAATTATGAAAACTGATCCTCCCGCACATTTCAAACATACTCACCCAACACACATACTATGAGAACCACTAGTCTAAATAATCTTGGTCCCCTACATACTTGTGAACTTCTCCAGCACAGAGCTGGAGGAGTTTCTGGGAAGAGTTTGGCGTTCGTGATAAAAAGGGAGGAGATGTGGCTAGCACTGTGCCCCTTTTCTTCTGGCTTTGGATGCAAATGTGATGCTGGGGCTTCTGTAGCCATCTTGTAACTATGAGGAAAATGCCGAGACCCCTATGGGCTCTGCCCTTTATTTCACTGATTCCCCTGATTCAACACTGCAATCAATCAGTTCCAGATTTCATTAGACCAGTATAATTTGGGTTTCTGTTACTTGTAGCCAAAATTCATTCCTAACTGGCAGGGACATTATTTGTTTTGTTTTGTTTTGTTTTGAGACGGAGTCTCTCTCTGTTGCCCAGGCTGGAGTGCAGTGGCGCGATCTTGGCTCACTGCAAGCTCTGCCTCCTGGGTTCACGCCATTCTCCTGCCTTAGCCTCCTGAGTAGCTGGGGCTACAGGTGCCCGCCACCATGCCCAGCTAATTTTTTGTATTTTTAGTAGAGACGGGGTTCACCGTGTTAGCCAGGATGGTCTCAATCTCCTGACCTCGTGATCTGCCTGCCTCGGCCTCCCAAAGTGCTGGGATTACAGGCATGAGCCACCGTGCCCGGCCGACATTATTTCTTGATACTAATCATATCAATAGTTAATACTATATTAATACCTGCAAAGCATAGTAACTGGCACCGTACTAGAAGGTACTATATAAATATTTGTTCAATAAAGACATAGCGGGTGGATCATGAGGTCAGGAGATCAAGACCATCCTGGCTAACATGGTGAAACCCCATCTCTACTAAAAATAAAAAAAAAAAAAAAAAAAAAAATTAGCCAGGTGTGGTGGCACACACCTGTAATCCCAGCTACTAGGGAGGCTGAGGCAGGAGAATTGCTTGAACCTGGGAGGCGGAGGTTGCAGTGAGCTGAGATTGTGCCACTGCACTCTAAGCCTGGGCGACAGAGCAAGACTCCATCTCACATAAAATAAATAAATAAATAAATAACTCATGTTTGTAAGAAAATTTAGAAGAAGCTTAAAAAGAAGGGGAAAATCACTCAATATTTCCATCTCTGCCTGCCATGAATATCATAAAATTTTTTTTTTTCCATTCATTTTCTTTACCCTTAAAAGTTGCATAAGATGGCTCACGCCTGTAATCCCAGCACTTTGGGAAGCCGAGGTGGGTGGATCACAAGGTCAAGAGATCAAGACCATCCTGGCCAACATGGTGAAACCCTGTCTCTACTAAAAATACAAAAATTAGCTGGGTGTGGTGGCATGTGCCAGTAATCCCAGCTACTCAGGAGGCTGAGGCAGGAGAATCGCTTGAACCCAGGAGGTGGAGGTTGCAGTGAGCCAAGATCATGCCACTGCACTCCAGCCTGGTGACACAGCGAGACTCCGTCTCAAAAAAAAAAAAAAAAAGTTGCATAAGATCATAGTATTATAAATATTCAGATAATAGTGTAAAACTAATCCTTTTCCTAATTTTTAAAATCTTTTTTTGAGATGGAGTTTTGCTCTTGTTGCCCAGGCTGGAGTGCAAGGGCGCGATCTTGGCTCACTGCAACCTCTGCCTCCTGAGTTCAAGCGGTTCTCCTACCTCAGACTCCAGAGTATCTGGGATTACAGGCATGTGCCACCACACCCGGCTAATTTTGTATTTTTAGTAGAGACGGGGTTTCTTCATGTTGGTCAGGCTGGTCTCGAACTCCCAACCTCATGTGATCCACCTGCCTTGGCCTCCCAAAGTGCCACTCCACCTGGCCCCTTTTTCCTAAATATTGCATAAACATTGTGCTATATCATTAAAATCTCTTCATATATATCATTATTTAATGGCAATACATTATTCCATGGTGTCCATGCATCATAATCTTCTCAGCAACAATAAGGTATTTTCATAATTTCCAATTTTTCCCAAGTTAAATGATACAAGACTACCTTTGTGCATATATGGTTAAAATTATGCATCAAAATTTTCTGAAAATTTCTAAGATATTTACATTATGTCCAATTTTCCCCAGGTCTAACTAAGACAAGAAATCTCTGTTCAGAAATACAATTTGGTTCACTTGCTAAGGAGAATGGGCTGAGCACTGTGATAAGCCATCTTTCAGAGATACACTTAAGCACTTTGCAATCAATGGATGGAAGGAACCAAACCTTTTCTTCTTGGCAGCTACTGAGATATCCATGGAACTAACAAGGAAACAAGGAAGTGAGACATGAAGTAGCTTGCATTGCTGACGATTCCTTAATGATGGAACAGGACTGACATCCAGAACGGAATAATTTTAATAACAAATAATGTCACTGGTATGTGCAAAGTGCAAAAGTAATGACATAGACCTTCGTTAGAATCTTGACATTGTCACTTAACAATAGTGACTATAAGCTTGGGTTTTCTCATCTGAAAAATGGGAGAAGAGAGGTTTCTAATTCATGGTTTTCGTTTGCTTGTTTGTTTTTAATTTCTCCAAGAAAAAACACGGGCTTGTTATGAGAATTAAATGGGATGGTGCTCATACCAGCACAGTCCCCCCTTCCCGCCAGTCCCCCAGCATGTTACCTGCTGGGGTTATTACTGAGGTACACTATTTAAACATGGACATATCTGAGCCCCACCTAGGAGATACTGAGTCATAACAGGGTGGGGTGAAGAGGATGGTGTTTAGGAAAATCTGTGCTTTTCACAGTCATGCAAGGAATACCCCGCGAAGTTTGGGACCCAGTGTCTTCCAAACCGTTAACAGTAGCAGCTAACAAGCTGGGAGCTTAATATGTGCCAGGTTTTCTGCAAACCCCTGGTAGACAGGTTCTCAAACTTCATGTGCTTCAGAGTTGCCCAGGCAGCTACGAAGGACAGCGGATCCCCAGCCCCACCCCCGAGATTGAATGGGTGGGGCCCAGAAAGCTGTTTTAAAATACACGCTCTCGCTCCCAGGTGGCTGATTGCACTCAGTCTCTGGACCACACTTTGGGAAACAATGCACCAGGAGAAACCAGGGACTTGAAAAACGCTGATGTCCTCATCGGTTAAATAAAAACTGAACCCTAAACCCAAAGAAAGCGATCACGGCCCCGTTTCCCATTCAGATCCACCCTTAATGTGGAAAAGGCTTGCAATGAGCCGGCAGGACCTCGTGAGACCTGGAGACTCCCCCAATCTCCAGGCTCTAATTTTGAGCCACTGAGGCAGAAGTTTTCCCATCAGTGTTGCCCCATTTACCCCAGATTCCTTCCTCTCTCCTGCCCGCCCCAAACTCCGCCTGGTGGGGCGGGAATGCCCTTAGGGGGTGGCGATTGTCTGAACGGCGTGCCCTCCCCCACCGTTCCCTTCCAAGGGGTCTCGCAAGGCTGGAGGGCGCCCCGCTTCTTGCGCCAGGTCGGGTGCGCCCCCACCCCAAGCCCATTCCGGCGCCCCCTGCACCGCGCGCCCGCCGCGGTCCCCGAGACGCGGCTCCCAGCCGTCACCCCGATTTCGGGGCCCCGGGCCTGCTGGCTGCGTCGCAAACGTGCTTGGGCCCGGGCCCCGGAGCGCGCACTGGGCCCCGGAGCGCGCACTGCGCCCGGAAAAGCACTTACTTTGCACGGAGCCCGCGAAGCTCTCGCCCTCGCTGCTCGCGTTCATGGCCGCAGACTAAGAGATCCCCGGCCGGCCGGGATGCCAAAGTGGGGGACGCTGATCTACATGGTGCAAGGACTTTTCCTTTTATTTTTCCACACCCCCCACCCTGCCTTCTCCCAACTCTGCGAGGCGGGGAGGACGGATGTAAAGCAAGCTGCACTTCCGCTGCCTAGAGGGCGCTGGCCAGGCCCGGAGCCCCAACCTGGCTTTGCAGCAGCGGCTCCCCGGGGAAGCGGCGGGCGAATCCCGAGGCCCAGGCCCGCGGAGACCCCCAACGTCCCGGGGGAGCTGGATGGCCACGCGCGTCCCGGCGTGCTGGGAGACCGTGGGTGGCGAGGGATGCGCCCCTGCCCGCACTCTGCTTTCTCCGCGGACGCGATTGGCCTCCCCGGCTCGGGGCGCCTTTTGCACCTGCAGCCCCAGGCTTCGGGCCCCAGCGCGGCAGTGCAGCAGCGCTGCTCCGGGGACGTCTGGGTGGTTTGCGGGGAGACCCGCGTGCGGCTGCCGTTGCGGGGTGGGTGCGCGGGGCGCGGCGGGCTCCGGAGAAACTCAGGTTGGGCGTCAGTGCTAGGCAAATCAGCAAAGCTCTGGGCGGGTCCCCTGCCCCGCTAGGGAGACTGAGAGGACCGCGATGAGCTGGGGTCGTAGCGCGAAGGGACCTCTGCTCCCGGAGCTGCCAACTTTATCGTGCATCACAGTCGCCTGAAAAGCTTGTTAGAACACACGCTGCTGGGCCCACCCGAGCGTTTCTGCTTCTGTAGGTCTGGGGCGAGGCCTGAGAACGAGCATTTCTAAGTTCCCAGGTGATGTCCCTAGTGTTGGTCGGCGGCCACACTCTGAGGACACTGCCCTCTCTGCTCTGTCCCTCATGTCTTACTACTACTCTCTCCCCTGGGCTCCTGAGTCAGCCCTATCGTCTCTGCCTATCCTCCCAAGCCTCAGACCTCTCCAGCCTCGAGGCATTTGCACATAGAGTCTGCCCTGCCTCTGAAGGTCAGCATTCAAATTCACACTCAGGGAGACCAGGCTTGGCCTAATCTTATCATTCAAATATTGCAGCTCCCTCCTCCCCACCCAACCACTCCCTGTCTCCTTCCTGTTTTTCTCTTCTCTTCTCTTCTTTCTTCTTTTTTTTAGAGAGTGGGTCTTGCTCTATCTCTCAGGCTGGAGTGCTGTGGTCGGATCCTAGCTCATTGCAGCCTCCAACTCCTGGGCTCAAGCAATCCTCCCAACAGGCGTGGGCCACCACCTTGGCTCACTTTAATTTTTATTTTTGTAGAGATGTTGCCCAGACTGGTTTTGAACTCCTGGCCTCAAGCCATCCTCCTGCATCAGCCTCCCACAGTGCTGGGACTACAGGTGTGAGCCACCATGCCTGGCCTGCTTTGTCCTTAAAAGGTACTACATGGAACATAATATGTATCTCTGTGAATATGTATATCTATCTTCACATACAGATAGAATTTAATTGTATATTATCTGTGTTCTCCTCCCCCTTATTTTCAGTAAGTCCCTGTAAAAATGGGGATTAAAAAAATCTCTTTGCTTCACTGATGTAGTCCAGTGACTTGGCTGGTGCCTGACACATAGTAGGCTCTCGGTAAATATGGCTTGTATAATGAATGGGATTTCCCCTGCTGCTTCCTCTAAGGCTTAGTTTCTGCCTGCAGCGGCTGTTTGTTCTCAAGTGTTTGTGATGTGCCAGGCACTGGACTAGCCACTGGAGGTAGGCCAGGGATGCAGTCAACATGAAATAATCAAATCAGTACTGTAATTATAGATAGATAGATAGATAGATAGATAGATAGATAGATAGATAGATAGATGCAGATATATAGTACTTCCTGTTTTTTAAACCTTAAGTTCTGCAGAATGTGCAGGTTTGTTACATAGGTATACATGTGCCATGGTGGTTTGCTGCAACTATCAACCCCTCACCCAGGTTTTAAGCCCCATATGCATTAGGTATTTGTCCTAATGCTCTCCCTCCCCTTGCCCCCCACTCCCCGACAGGCCCCGGTGTGTGATGTTCCCCTCCCTGTGTCCATGTGTTCTCAATATTTTACTAGTGAAAAGGGCTCCAAAGACCATAAAATGGGGCTGTAATAGTGGCTGTAGAAGTGGTCATGGTAGTCCTTTCTGAGCAGGTAATATCTGAACGAGGAGCTGGGGAGGGTGCAGCCATGTGAGGATGAGGTGGGAGCAATTCCAGCCTGAGGAACTGGTGGGAGCAAAAACCCTGGAGCAGGAATGAGCTAGATGTAACTGGCTGTGGTCTGCCAGTCCCACTGCAGATCACATCACTCTCACCCTGCATCGCCCAAGCCAGCTCCCCCAGGCTCCTTGCTGTTGTTTAAACAAGCCCAACCCTTCCTGACCCAGGGACTCTGCATCTGCCCTCCCTCTGCCTGGATTGCTCTTCCTGGTCTTTGCAGGACTGACTATTTTAGGTCATCCAGCATCAAATGAAATGTCACCTTCCCGGAGAGAACTTCCTGTGTCTTACCTAAAGTATTCACTCCCCCTGTGACTCTACCACATCACCTTCATGATACCTATCTAGCTAACATGACCCAGGAGGGCACCGCAGCTTATGGCAATATTTATTTTTTATTGCTTGATGAATGTTTACATATGTGCACACCTGGGGAGCCCCCATCCAAGACAGACATTTCCAACCCTGGTCGGCTCCCTCATGCACCTTCCCAGCCAATAATACTATTCCAGCCGGGCAAGGTGGTTCACATCTGTAATCCCAGCACTTTGGGAGGCCAAGGCAGGCAGATCACCTGAGGTCAGGAGTTCGAGACCAGCCTGACCGATATAGCGAAACCCCATCTCTACAGTACAAAAATTAGCCAGGCTTGGTGGTGCATACCTGTAATCCCAGCTACTCCAGAGGCTGAGGCAGGAAAATTTCTTGATCCCAGGAGGCAGAGGTTGCAATGAGCCGAGATGGAGCCACTGCACTCCAGCCTGGCTGACAAGAGCGAGACTGTCTCAAAAAAATATAAATAAATAAATAAACAAACAAATAAATAAATAAAAATAATACTCTTCCCACTATCCAATCCTGCAGAGGTCACCATTTTAACTTCTATTGTCACGATTCCTTTTGTTGAGAGCAATACATCTCACATTTGCCTGAAGAGAAGCAGCATCTGGAGGGCTCGCTAAGGAATGAATTCTTGAGTCCTGACCCACGCTTACTGCATCAGAATTTTCTGGGGTAAGACCTGGTAATCTGCAAATATCTCAAAAGTGCCCCAGCTAATTCTTATCATGATGTAAGTCTGGGCCTTACTGGTTTGGTGGTTAAGTGTGTAGGTCCTGGAGTCAGGCTATTCCACTGCCATGCAAATCCTGGAGTTGCTGAACTAGAATTAGTTGCTTAACCTTGAGTAGGAGATTCCACTGCTCTGTGTCCCAGTTTTCTGTAGCTTGGAGATAGCAGTAGCACCTAGTTCATTAAGTTGTTTTGTAGGAGGAACCAGTCTATATCTGTAAAGTGCTTAGAATAGTGCCTGACTCATATAACTCGGCATAAATCCTAGCTATTATTATCTTTTATTGATTTTTGGTTATTATCTGTGTCCCTACCATGTAAGCTCCAGGAGGGCATGGACCTGGCCTGTTTTATTTACCTTGTATCCTCTGAGGCCTAGAACAGAGCCTGGCACACAGGCATCCTCAGTTCATTTTTTGTTGTGAAATTATTTCATGCATGTTTCCGTGAGCTCCATTTTAACCTTTTGCTACTACGTCCAGCCAACCTTCTCTATTACTGTAAATATCCTAAAATAACCATTGGCATA